CCTTTTAAAATGATGTTCTTCTTCTTTAATCTTAAACAGAGCTGACAAAGAAGTCGGAGCAATTGATGCTGCACACGAAAGTATTGTTTGGACTTTGGATTGGCATCCGTTGGGACATATTTTGTGCTCGGGATCCAACGATCACACCAGTAAATTTTGGACGAGAAATAGACCTGGAGATTTAATGAAAGATAAATATAACTTAAACACATTACCTGCTGGAATGTCTGGAGTCGACGATAATGAAATTGGCAAGTTTTACTCGAAAGAAATTTTTCATTTTTTTTTTTTTTTTTGTGTTTTTAATTTTCGATCGACGATGTAATAAATTTGTAGATGAAATCGCGTGCATACCTGGTATGGCACCCGAAGATAGAGTTGAAGGTTTACCACCGGTCGTCGGAGAAAACGTACCACTGTTTAAACAAGAAAGCAACGACGGAGTGATTCCAGGTTTGGAAGAAGACGTTTTAGATCCGGAAAGTAAGAAAAAGAAACCTGCGAAAAAACAACCTTATGCCAAACCCATCCCAAAGAATTTTATGGCTCAGTGGAATGAAACTGGAATGACTCCAGAGGGTAAATTAATTGATGATCATTAAATGGGTTAACATTTTATAAAATGTATTGTAATTATCCATTGCAGAAGAGGAAGAAGCATTAGAAGGTTATGGTACGGAATCAGTTTTGGATCCAATCAATCAATTAATAAATAAATTTATTGAACAACAACCAGGAGTTAAAAAACTGGAAGATTTAGAACCGACAGCCGTTGTCGTTTTTGGAAAAGTTTTACCAGTTAGACGTAATTAGCATCACAATTGAAAAAATTTTCTTTTTATCTTTTTACCAAAAAAAAAATTAATTTTTTGTTTTCCCCCCATTTAGCCGGTCAAAAATTATATAAAAAAATATTCAAAGGAAGAGAAGCTTTAAACAAATACATAAGATCGGGAAAAATAAAAGAATTGCAAGACGTGTTGCCCATAATGGACAGTGATGGAGAAGGAGGTGAATCCGATTCTGATTCAAGTTCAATGGAATTAGATCCACCCAATGATGAAGATGAAGATGAAGACACTCAAAACAGTTTCCCTGATAATCCAATGGATTATCTTAAATCCGATACGGATTTCAGAAGGTTTAGTCGTAGCGGGCCGATGGTTAGTAAATAAATTGTTATCGATTGTATCGGATTTTCTATCAATTTGTCAACCGTTTATTAAATTATTATCATTATTACAGGAACCGGATTCAGATTTTAGAAATTTGGGTAGTAACGGTCCAGTTAGAGATATGGATTTGCGATTTCAATCAAGAGATCAAGACTTTAGAGCACAAACTCAAGTAATAAAAATTTTCCTTTTTTTTTTTTTTTAATGTAAATAAATAAAAAGAAAACAAAAGATTTATATAAAATAACGTTTTTGTTTGTTTTCCCGTAGATGTTCGATGAAGATTTGAGAAATCCACAAAATATGCCACCTCCTCTAATGGGTCCCAATTTTAGAAGTTTCGACGTGGAAGAAGAACAATTGAGAAGGGAAAAAATGATGCAAGGAGATGTTAGACAAAGAGATCTCGATTTAAGACATCCATACGGTAATAACGATTACAACCAGGGTGCCAATTACGGAATAGGAGTAGGAGTAGGAGTAGGAGGAGGAGGAGGAGATTTTCCAGAACCGAGACTTAATTTTCATCCTAGAAACAATTACAATAGCAGAGACATGGATTTTCGAAATTACGAAGATCGTAACAATCGCGGACCATTTCAAAGAAACGACATGGATTTCAGGAGTAGAGATTACGATCAGAGAAATCGAGATTACGATGATAGATTCGACGACAGAGAAAATTACGATGTCGGAAGTAGCAAAGACAACAGTTTCGACGACAGACCGAGTTTCAATAGTAGTAATAACATGTTTAATCCGAATCAAAGGTGGGACGAAGGTCCGTCGCAAGATAACGGTAATTGGGGTAATAGGCCACCGCCGTTAATGTCTGCCAACCTTTGGGAAAACAACGATTTAGATTTTAGAAATTTTCCCAACAGAGGTTTTCAAGGAGGTGGAGGTGGAGGTGGTGGTGGAGGACCACCACCCAACAATAATTTCGGACCCAGAGGTAAAAGTAGAGTAGGAGGAGGAGGTGGAGGAGGTGGAGGAAGAGGTTTACCAATAAGATCTCGTCCGAGACGTGGAAGAGGACGATTTTTAAAAAATTAAATTTTTTTTTATATATTTTCATCCGTTTAGTTAAATTTAATATATATAAATATAAATTTTTTTTTTTTTCTAATGAAGTGAAATGCGATCGAATAATAATAATAATAATAATAATATCATTCTATCCTTTTTCAATCGTAAACGTAATGTTTTACATATAAAAATATGTAAAGTTATGTATTATGATAGGTGACCGAAATATTTTCATTTATTGTTCCTTCCTTATTAAAACCTGGTGATATATGAATAAAAAAAAAAAAAAAATCGATTATTCACGCGAATTCTGTGTATTTAATAAAAAAAAAAAAAAAAAATTGCCTTAGCACTTTCATTTGCTGCTATTATTCTTCTCAATAAAATAATAAAATAAATAAATAAATAATTGTTTTACATTCATTTAAATTCCTTAAATTATTTAATTCGTTACACGTCACTCATGACGTCACTCATACACAAAACATACCAAAAAAATTTTTTAGGTACATAATCGACTTAACGAGTATTTTTTTTAAAAAAATTTTATTATAAAAAAATTGAAGACATTCTTATAATATATTCCAGAGATCTTATTTATATTAATTTTAAATTCTTCCTTTTTTTTATTTTATTTTAATTTATTTTAAATGCTGATCTTTAAGACACAAAATACAAAGAATAATAAGCTATTAATTATTATTATTATTATTATTTTTAAAAAATGAACAAAAAAAAAAGGAAGAGAGATTATTTAATGATTATACATGACCTTAAAATGATTTAAACCAAAAAAAAAAAAAAAAAAAAAAAAAACCCTAAAGGGTACTAATAATAATAACTAAACCTAATTTTATATAAATTAAATAAAAAAAAAAAAAAAAAAAGAAAAAAAAAATGACCAATCAATTATTTGTTCACACATATGAAATGAAAAACTGAAGAACAGTTAAAAAAAAAAATAAACACAAAAACTATCTATATGATAATTAACCTGATTAAAGAAAGAAAGAAAGAAAAAAAAAAAACTAATGATAATGATAAATAATACTCTAGAATTATCATCATTATTATCTTAATTAATTAATTTAAATTCGAAAAATAATAATAATAATAGTAAATGAAAGAAATGGCAGCAATTACTTACAAACTATAATTAAAAAATCTGGTCACTTTAATTTTTTTTTTTTTTTTTTTTATCTTCATCATTTAAATTTAAATTTAATTTTAATTATTATTATTATTATTATTTATTATTAATTTTTTTTTTTTTATTTTAAATTTTTGGTTTAAATTTCCAGTCTTTACAAATATTTATGGGTGGGAGAAAGAATTAAAAAAAAAAAAAAAAAAAATTAAAGCGACCTAATAAAAAAAAAAAAAAAAAAAAAACATGATAAAAATACAATTCAATTTTTTTTAATTTAAATTAACACATATAATAATATTAATGATCTTTTTATTACATTTTTTAAAAAGATGTAAAAACTCTAGAATATTCTTTTTATGTTTATTTATTTATTTGTTTAAATTAATTAATTGTTATGAAAGATAAAAAAAAAAAAAAAAAAAATTATGCGAATGAATAAATAAATAAAATATTATTATAACGATATGTTGTTATTATTATTATTATTACAATAAGGTACTGTAACAAATAATAATAATAATAATAATAATAATGAGAAAACTGAAAATTTAAATTTAAATTTTTTTTACTCCTAATATCGATTGATTGTTTTTTTTTTTTTTTTTTTTCCTTCCATTTTTAAAAATATATATTATTCTAAAATTTGCACATCTTCTACACACATTGCATTAAAAACCTATACAAAAACTATATAGATATACTTATTATTATTTTTGTTTGTTTGTTTCCTGTTAATAATAGTTATTATTATTATTATTTGAATGAAAAGAAAAAAAAAAAAAAAAAACTTTCAAGATGATGATGCTCGACTGAACTATGTATGGATAATGTAAATATTTTAAATTTTTTTTTTTTTGTTATTATTAAAAAAAAATGAGAAAAAAAATATTTAAATTTAAAATATTTACTCGTTCTTCTAAAAAAAAAAAAAAAAAAAAAAAGAAAGTCCATGAACACTTTTTAGTCTTCTTCTTCTTCTTCTTCCTCTTCTTCATTATTTTCTTCATCATCTTCATTGGCTGATTCTTTTTCTTCTTTCTTAGGACGACCACGTCCCTTACCAGACTGAATGGAAATTAAATAAAAAATTTTTTTTTTTTATCGAACAAATAATAAAAAACACCCAAAATTCATTTGTCGATTAATCGATTTGAAATAAATCGAATATACTCATTGTTACCTTTGCCTTTGGAGATTTAGCAGCTTTTGTTGTACCTTTTTTTGTAGAACCTTTAGGCCTACCCCTTCCTCTTTTAGGAGGACTGCTTTCTTCCTTTTTAACAGGTGATTTCGTTTCAGCTTTCCTTTTTTCAGCCTTTTTAGCATTATCCTGATCATCGAATAACATACATAAATCAATTTCGAATCATGTGGATGTTTTTATCACTTTCGAATATATTTTTATAATAATAATATATATATTGAAATAAATAATATTACCTTTATGTCATTTTTAGATGTTCCACGCCCCCTCTTCTTTTCAACTACTCCATTACCATCATCCGACATTTTGACTTTTAAGGTTAATCACTTAAATCGACAATACAATTTATACAATCAATGCCCTGAGAAGAACAAAAAAAAAAAATTTTATTTTAAAGAACAAAACAACTATAAACAAAACAATTAATTGAAATAATTAAAGTTAAATATATGTTTATATATATATTTTTTTTTTTAAATTGAAGAAACCAATTATTACATTGTAAAACAAATAAATAAAATTGGGAAAAAAATTACAATTTTAACATTTTAATTATAACGAATTATTGATTTTTTACAAATAAAAATAAAAAAAACAAGCCAATAATTTGTAAAATAATCAGAGAGAAAAACAAATCGTACATGCACGAAATAAAATAAAGGAGGAGAAAAAAACGTGAGTTTGTAACAAACAAGCACAAGCAACAAAATGGCAGCTGAAAAAAAAAAAAATTAAAGTTTAAATAAAATATATATTTTATTGTTACTATATAATAAAATAGACAAAATGACGCGATGCCTAACGTAATTGATGTTAACTCGTCGAAACAAATTAAAAAGTTTTTAACAAATTATTGATTGAAAATGTAATATGTATTTAAAAATTCAATCGTACAATCGTTTAAAATGTGAAAATAAAACATTTTAAATACAAAAAAAAAGAGAGAAAACAGTTGAAAACGGCCGTTAGAAAACGAAATCAAAAGTAAATGGATGCGAGAATGATAACGACTTAAAATATACGTGGATTCCCGTACAAATACGCCCTTATTATTCTAAACGACCAATAGCCAAACCTTAATAACGTTTTTTCTCAGACATAAAAAAAAAAAAATACAAAAAAAAAAAAATAATAATAATAACCAAGCGCAAAAATCGATGCCTTTAAATTGTTATATGCGAGAAAAAAAAAAAAGAAAAAAAGCGAGAAAAAATTTTTAATTATAATTATTTTCCTTCGCGTAAATTTTAATGCCACAAAAATAATTATAACCTTAAGAGATTATTGCACAAAAAAAAAAAAAAAATAGTAAAAAAAAAAAAATTCCAGAATCGGCGCGCGTAATTTACGTAACCAAGTAGAATTTAACTTCAATCGAAATAAAAATTATTTGTTTAAAAATAGAAGTAGATATCATGCCAATAAATATAAATATAAAAAATATATAATAAATAATTGGCATATTAATTGAAAATTCACTAAATTAAATCGTAATGATTGAAAAAAAAAAAATTTTTTTCCCACGAAAAATGAACAATTTAATTTACCCCTATCAGGGAAGGTTTGTAAAACGCCATGGCTAACTTGGCTTGCCTGGAATAAATCACTGAATCAAAAATCACAAATTATTTTTTACACGACAAATACCGCATGCAATTAAAAAAAAAAATTACCCAAAAAACTAACAAAAAAATATTATAATTTTATCCAATTTTTGATTTACGATATAAAATTCTGACTAGCTAAAATAAAATAATTAAAATCAAAAAATATCAATTTTACTCACTGAAATTTTGTCAAGGAGGCGAGAGAAAGATTACTTGGCGTGCCGCTAGAGGGTCAAAAAATGCGATTCCCGCCAAAAATTTTTCCTCTTTTTTATCATAAGAAGTAAAGTAAAATATAAATAATAATATTTAAAATTTAATTTTTTAACACGATTTTTAAATAAAAAAATCTAATTAATTCGATTAATTTAATTTTAAATTTATTAATTTTAATTTAATTTTTAAAAAAATTATTTTTGTATTTTTATTTGTAAAAAAAAATTTTTTTTTAAACAAATATTAAAAATTAAATAGCTTTTAGAAGTCCACCATTTATAAATCGAAATTTTAACTTTCAATGTTGTCGCCAGGGATCAGGCTAATCAATGGCAATCTTATTGTTTTTATTAATAAATAATGTAATTGTAAATAAAAAATTATTTTAAAATGAAAAGTTTGATTAAAACTACTGTAATATATTTCTATTTTTATTTAAAATAATAATTGTTTTTCGATTGTTGTTGAGTAGTTTTAAAAAAAAAAATTAATTCTAAGACTACTTTAATAACGTTTTACTATTAGATCATGTCGATTTAATTATTATTATTATTAAACTTTTTGTAAGGAAAAAAATGGATCGGATGAAAAAAAATTATTTTAATTAATGATTATTAATTAAAAATTATAACATGAAATGATTACATAAAACATTATAAAAATTCAACTTTAATATTACGCATTTTTTGTTATTAATTAACATTATTGTTATTATTATTATTATTATTATTTTAATTTTCAAATGACGTTTAATACTTTGCTCAGAATACACTTTGGGAATAAACATGTTAAAATTTGTAAAAAGATACGAAAAATGGAAGGCAGTCACGTGACCCATCAGTGTTTGCAAGATGGCATCATGACAAAAAAAACGTGAAAAGAAGTCGGATTGTTGATGGATTAAATACAGCGAACATTTAGTGAAAAATAAGTGAAACTGTAACTTTATCAGTTTTAATATGTAGTTAATAGTGTTGAAATTTGTTCATAGATATGAATATATTTCTAAAAATGTAAAAACATTATTCGAAAAAGGACAAGCGAAGACGAAAAAAAAAATGGTTGTAGTTCGGTGACCTCGTTGTCAGACAGGTTTGGAATTCCGATCTTGTGCGAAAGTATTACGAAGAAGAAATATTCAAAATGGGAGAAAGCTTAGAAGAGCTTTGCCGTTTATGTGCGGCCTTTGATCCAGTGAAAATGCCGATATTCAGTTCGGAAGGAAAACAGAGGAATTTGATCGTCAAAATACAGACTTGCCTGCGATTCAAGGTAAAAAGTTCTAAACGACGTGTCCTCAATAAGGCAAAATGATGAAAAGGGCGAGGCTTTAAATAGTTTAGGAAGGTAGACAAAAAATTACATAATAATTATAACCCCACTCCTGAAATAAGACTTTATTATAATTCAAATTTAAAGAAAGGTTCGAAAACTCGGTAGTGGCTAGCTTTATTCTTTCTGATAGAACTCTTCTCTAGTATTGCCCATTCAAAATGGCGTCTCCAAGTTTATAAATCCAAGGTCATATATTCAACTAGACCCAGACAAATTGGTTTAGTTACAAATCTATTTTTACACAGCAAATGAGTTCAAATGCTGGGAGGATTAAAAGAAAAAATGCAATTTGTAAAAACCAAGGAAGGGTGTAGAAAAAAAAAAAAAAAAAAAAAACCAACAGCTAGTGTTGCAAGCTTTTACATTAGTAGTAAATTAATCATGGAAAGGTTACAAGAATTAGGATACTCGTAAAAAAAAAGTAAAAGAGAATAAAAATCATGCATTGCACATGATTTTTGATGAGAAATTTCTTATTACATTAGAAAAGTTTCGATTAAAAAAAAAAATTCAAATCCGATTATTAAAAAAAAATTACAAGACTTTTCGTTCTGCTACTCTACTCGCCTAAAAATAAAATTCTATAAATTAAATTTGAATATTTGAACAAAGCAAAGTAACAAACAAACAGACTACTACTACTACTACAATCATTTGTATTCTTTTAATTGAGAATAAGAAGAAAAAAAAAAACAAAAACAAAACAAAACAAAAAAAATATTAAACATAATAGTACTTTCATTTTTTATAAAATTTACTCTCATTTTCATGTAATTATTATCAAATCTTCTATCGTTTGAATTGTATAATAAATGCAATTTCATTTTTTTTTATTATTTGCCAATTACTTTCTTTTAAATACTAATTTGTCATTTAATTTAACCATGCATAAATCTTATCATCTTCTTAAAAATAATTGACAATCATTTGAAAATTATTTAAAAATTCAATTTATTGAAAATGTAAATGAAATAATTTCTTTCGACATTTTTTTTTGGTCGGCCATTTAAATTCCTCCCAGTTTTTGTTAATGCATTTTTACATATATTTCTTCTTATACACTTTATACAGCCATACAGTTAGAAGATTTGTATTATACATAAAATCACCTAAACATATATATACTAATTATGTTTATCATAATTACAAAAAAATGAAAAATTATCACTGAAACCTAAAAACTTGGTCATTTCTTTTACGATTCATAAATATTGAACCACTACTGTAAAAAATATAATAATAATAATTATAATATTTATATAAATACTACATTCTTACTTATCCGTTAATTACAATTAAGAGTTTATTTACATCATGAAAAATTATTTATGTCAGTTCAGTTACAGCCAGTCATTCTCTTTAGTCTTTTGATAAATGATCTGTACAGCTTGATCTCTATTTTATTTTTACTATTTTAACAGTTAAAAGTAATTATTTTGTAAAGAATGAAATGAGTAGTAGTCAGTTCGATCCGGCCTATTTTCCCTCCCCCTCCCCCTCCCCCTCTACCCCGAATCTTTTTTGTTTTTTGCCAAAAAAAAAAAAAAAAAAAAAAAAAAGAAAAAATGGATGATGATTATTTATTTAATTTAATTTATTTAACATTCATTAATGAGATTTTGCAATTTTTTTTCCCATTCTAATTGATTAATTTTTATAGAATTATTTTTTATGAATTGTTTTATCCTAATTGTATATGTCATGTTTGCGATAGTAGGAAGTTAGGTTATTTTGTCCTTTGGTTGAAACATGCATTGTGGTGTACGACATTATGAAAGGTTTCACGATTGTTCATATCGTCTCTCTCGTATACCAACGGCATCATGGTTGTCCTTGAACAAGTTCTTTGTTTCGTCGTTTGTGAAATATGTAACAGATGTTTTTTTTTTTTTTTTTATTTTCCTGTGAGGTTTCATGTTTGTTCTACAACAACAACAACAACAACAACTAGGGTTGATGATATAATATCAAAAAATTTTACATTGTCAGAAAGAATTAATTAATTTTTTTTTTTTTTTTTTGCCTTTGATGCTTTCCAAAAAAAACATTTTGCAAAAGAAAAATAATGAACAATTTTTTTTTTTTTGGTTCTTCTCTATATGTTAATCCCGTGGATTGTGTTTCGTTTAGATATGTATTTTGCTATAGAGTGATATTTAACATCACATCGATTTTTAAAAGTTGTCGAGGTTGAATTCATGACGCACTTATCCTACGACGCACACCCTAGTTTATAGTTTTGAGTCATGGCTATCTCACCCCTTAGTCCGCACAGTAAATTCCCCCTAATTCATTTCGCTTCGGCTTATTTGAAAAGCCTTCTGGCTATATTTATCCGACTTGAAATTTCGTATAAAATATATAAATCCATATATATATATATATATTAAATTTTAATTAACGGTTACTTTTTTTTCCCAAAATTTCCAAGCAACATTCAAAAAAAAAAAAATTATTTAATATTGATTTTTTTTTTTTTTTTTAATTGGATAACTTTTAGGTTTTAACTATTTTGGGGAAAAATAAAAAATGCAATTAAATTTGATTTTTTCAATCCAAAACCTATAAAACCTGAAGAAACCTTTAATATTGGAAATTTGTGTTATTTAATTTTTCAACGGGAGAAAATAAATAACGAAAAGTTAATTGCTGTCGTTTACGGTCTCTCTCTCTCTCTCTCTCTCTCTCTCTCTCTCTCTCTCTTGATTGCCAAACTAATTACTAAATTGTGGTTTTAGGTCGCTGAAGCGGATGGATTTCCGAGCAGTGTTTGTTATCGATGCATGTTTAACTTGGAAAATTATTATGACTTTTACGAAACATGCATCAGAGCTCAAACACTTTTACAGAGTAAACTTGGTGATGGCGGCGATGCGACAGCGGTTTGTGCCCCGATTATTAAAGAAGATACTGGTGGCATCGGAGGAGTAATACCCAACTTGGAAAGGTGCGTGTGTGCGTGTGTCATTTTGATTCTTAACACTTAAAATTTTATTGTTTTTAAATTTATGTATTCTTATGTATATATATGTTTACTCAACTTCAAATTAATTACGTTCTAATTTTTATTATTATTATTGTCAGACTGGTTCATTGTGATCTGTGCTCCGCTTCATTCACAACCGCCAAGGACAGGTGGACCCACGTTTTGCGAACTCACAAAGGTGATCCTAGAATAACGTGTACGTTTTGTCGAAAGAGTTTCAGTACCATATCCGCGCTAAATTTTCACAAGAAAAATAAACATCCAGAAGAAATGGACGAGCTTGAAAAAAAGCTGAAACCACTTCCGAAGCTTCAAAAAATCAACGAAATCCCCAAAATCCAAAATAAAACATACGAAACGGTTCGAAATTTTCTAAACAATAAGACTGAAAACATATTACAGGATGCCAGGCATTCGGATTTAGCAAATTTTAATGTAAAAATTGGTAATACAGACATTAAGTTCGGAAACGCGAGCATCACAGTCGGAAATACGGATATTCGCGTCGGCAATTCCGGAGGGGTTAGTGAAAACAGAGCGAGCGAAAATCAATCGATGATAGATAGATTGAAAAATTTAGGTGTCGACGTGTTTACTGGAAATTCCAAAACTAACGATTATAATTCCGAAAGTTTATACGGACACGAGAACGTTGAACACCACAGGCGAAAAGTTCAAAAAAAACAAAAAATTTACTCATCGAGTGACGAACAAAATGCGACAGAGTTTCAAAATCCTGAAGACTTGCTAGAACTGGACATGGATTTGGAGGGAAATGACAACGTTGAGAACATTGTAGAATCTGAGAGTATATTCGGTTGCGAAGTATGTTTTCGCGACTTTAAGGATCGGTCTTCGCTATGGCTGCACATGCTGTATTCTCATAAAGTTGAAGCAGGGTGTACTTGTGGAATATGCCTGAAATTATTTTCCAATTATCACGAATTAGCATTACATGGGAATCTCTGCAAGGATCAAATAGAAAGTGAAAAAAGGAGGTACTACTGCAAAATTTGCTATAGGCAGCACGATTCCAAGAAAAAATTAGAATCGCATACTTCAATTCATAATTTAAATGACGATTTTATTAAAGAAAATTTCGATTTAAATAATTTGATATCGTCAAACCCTACCATGACTGAAAAAATAAAATTAGAGGACTATATGGAAGCTGATGTGAGCGAATATTCGGATACGTATTCGCAAGAGCTCGATATTACCAATGACTCAACACAACACAGCATGACTGGTAACGGATATCCCAATGCAGGACAGCAGTATTTTGACGAAGTACAAAGTTATAGAGATCAATTAGCCTATCAAAACTTTTTAGAAGGATCCGGACATTTTTTAGAGTCCTCATCGTTTTTTGATAACATCAAAACGGAAGAAACAAAAACGGATGCTAATCAATCTGAAGACTTGAATAAATTTCGATGCGACGAATGTTATAGATCCTACGAAACATCTCTACAGTTGACGAAACACAAATACAACGTTCATAGAAATCCGAATAGATTACAATACAGGAACGATTCATTCGGTAATCCCGTTTACGAATGCGAATATTGTGGGCAAACTTATGACTCTCCGAAGCAGTTAACAAAACACCGTTACAACGTTCATAAATTTCCTACCAATGCGGTTCCCATTGACGAAACTGGAAAACAAATGTTCAATTGTTCCGAATGTCCGAGAGCTTTCGAAACTCCCAGGCAGTTACAAAAACATCGTTACAACGTGCACAAAGCCATGAGGAAACCCGCCGGTCAATCGATTCCGGGTTGCGATAGCCCGAGCAGTGTTGAATCTTTCAAACCCGGTTTCCATTACTCATCATTTGATTGTGAAATTTGCGGTGAAAAGTCTACGAGCAAAACGGAACGTTGGAAACACTGTTATAAACAACATCAAAACGAAGAAAAATTAGTTTGCTCCAATGAAGATTGTAAAAAAATCATGCCTACGGAAAATTTTCAAAAGGAACACATGAACTTTCATGCGATGCAAGGAAAATATCCCATTTGTTGTGAAATTTGTTCGAAACTCTGGACGACGAAAATGGAATTTTGGAAACACGTATCGGGAGTTCATTATTCCCTAATAGGATTAACTTGCGGAGTTTGCATGAGAATGTTTTTGACGCTGGATGAGTTGAAAGCACACATAAAAATCCATGAGCCGTTGTCGGAAGCAGAATTTAATTGTGACATTTGTGGTCGCGGATATTCCTCCAAGCCGAAAATGACACGGCATAGACTGATTCACGAAAACGATCCCGAAAGTGATGAATATAATATATTGAAACATACATTATTAAAAGGTAATAAACCGCCGCCGCCGCCGGTGGAAAAAGGAAAATACGAAATTTTAAATATACCGAAAATAAATAGAAATTATGAAAATGATTTGGAAATCATCGAAGTCAATCCGGATGATAACGGTTTGGTGGATTTGGAACACGAAGAAAATACTGACACCCTCTGGTGCGACGTTTGTCCGGACCTTACATTTGCAGACCTTGATGAATTGAGGTCTCACAGGCGTAACATACACGCATTATACCCTTGCGATTTATGTCCAAAATTTTACGGCGGAGTGAGTCATTTGTGGAAGCACACGAATCGTAGTCATAAAAATCATCCCGACATAACGTGCGAGTATTGCGGTAAAACGAGTGCGAGTCGAATTCAGCTCAGAGGACACATAAATAAAAATCATAAGGAAATTTTATTGGGTCACGTCGTGTCAGAAGGAGGAAATCCTTTACACGTTTTACCAGATCCGGATCCGACAAACTTAAATTGTCGAAGGTGCGGTCGGGAATTTAGGATTCGTTCTCTCGTACGAAGACACGAGCGAACGTGTTTAACAAAGACTAATTTCGATCCGGATCCAACGAATCTGAATTGTCAAAAGTGTGGAAAATATTATCCCATTCGATCTTTGGTCAGAAGACATGAGAAAGCTTGCCTTAATAGAATCATCAAGGATGTGGATCCGGCCAATTTAAATTGTAAAGTTTGTGGTAAAGAGTTTCCAAAACGATCGTATTGTCGGCGTCACGAGCGAACGTGCGGTACAAAGAAAGAACGCACACCGAAGGAGGAGGGTCCCATCGAAATTCACTGCGAATGGTGTCCGAAGCAATTCAACAACAGGCGTGCTTATGCCAGTCACGTGGATTACATGCACAGTTTGGTCACTTGCGAAATTTGCGAAGAGGATGAAAAAGCATCGTTCAGATCAAAAACTGAACTTTACAATCATTGTAAGGAAAAGCACAGCGATCATCCGGATTTGTTATGTACTTTTGAAAAATGTAGGAGACTTCTTAGAACGAAAATCGATTTGGAGAAACACATGAGAGATCATAAGAATAGAGACAATCCTCCGACTTGCGAATATTGTGCCGACATATTTAAGGGACGTAAAAAATTAAGGATTCACATGTTGCATCAGCATAGATCTGAAGAATCGAGGAGATACATCTGTGGTGTTTGCGTGAAAGTTCACGATGATACCGAAAAACTAATTGCTCACGCTTATGAAGCGCACAGTAAAATAATGGAAAGGGATTTCGTTTGCAAAATTTGCGCCAAACAATATAATTGCAATGCTAAAGTATTAGATCATCACAAAAATACTCACGATAGTCAATACAAACCTTGTAAAGTCTGTTTAAGGATTTTCACCGATCAAACTCTATTGGAAGAACATTTACAACAGCACGCGATCGGGGACCGAAGTGTAAATTCGGATTTAGTTACGGACCATCAATGTACGATATGTATGGAGTCTTTTGACACCGTAGTACTCCTTCACGAACACGTCAAAGAAAATCATCCGAACCTGCGAGAAAATTCGTGTTTGATTTGCGGAAAGAAATACCAAAGCATTTACACTTGTTATGATCACATGGAAAACAAACACGGAGGCACTTACCTCACATGCAGGAAGTGTTTAATGTTGTTCACCGATAAAGAGGAAAAGGCTGCTCACATGATGACTCATGGTATTCAAGAAGAAGTTGACGTACTGACTTGCACACTTTGTCGAACGCGCAACGAATCCGAAGAAGCTTTAGAAAATCACATAAAAGAATCTCATTCGGAACTTTTCGACGAGTTGGCCGACCGAAACATGTGTTTGATATGTTCCAAAGTATTAAAGTATAAATATAGCATTTTCTGTCACGTGGAAAAAAATCATCCTCAAAACTACTGTTGTAGGGTTTGTTTGATGATTTACAAAGAAAAAGACAAGTTGGATGATCACGTGATGAGATTACACACGCGCGATAAAGCAGGGAATCCTCCGGTGTTCGTCCCGAAGACGGCTAGTAGTAAAAAACCCTTGAGTACAAAACGTCCTAAACATATGTGTGCCGTTTGCCAGAAAATAGAAGAGAATACTGACGAGTTAAGAAAACACGTCGAAACGGAACACGAATTCGTTCTCTCAAAGGATATGACCTGTTTCCTTTGCGGTTCCACTTACGCCAATCGAGTCAAAGTAGTGAGTCACGTGAAATTATATCACGGTCCGCCTTACATGTGTTGTCGAGAATGCCTAAAAATTTTTGACAACGAAGACGAATTCGTGGCACACGTTGCCGAACACGAAAATGACGTGACGCTAAAATCTTCCGAAGAGATTTCGAAGAGCGTCAAAAGAAAGAGGAGTTCGACTTTGACGGATCCGTCTCCGAAAAGGTCGAAAGGTATCGTCAAATCCGAGGTTGTGAACAATGTAGAAAATATCGAGCAAAACGAAGGAATGGAAGGAATGGAAGAATACGAGGAAGAAGAAGAAGAAGAGGAAGAGGAGGAGGAGGAAATAGAAGATGAAGAAAATGACATTTCGTTGGATTACAATCAAGTCGAGGTGAAAGAAGAAATGGAAGAATTGGAGTCCGACATGGAGTACGAGAATCCAACGGATGACGACGACGAATCGAAAGTCAAAAACGAAGATGAAGAGGAAGAGGATGAAGACGACGATGAAGACGACGAGGACGACGACAACGACGTGGAAGACAGCGGAGAAGAAGAAGACGAGGATGATAGTAAAATGGCGAGTGAAAAAGATAACGAAGACAGTTACGTGTGCGAAACTGTCAAAAACCTCAGCGGTGAAGAAGAATTCAAAATTAAAATCAAACACAGTATTGGAACCAAAGATGCAACGGACGAAAGTAAAAGTGGGAAAGTTTTGAAAAGGTTGGAAAATAGGGAAGTCGTGCGAAACGGAGAAGAGAGCAGCGAATTGGAAGGGTCCGATAAGAAAATGGGCAGTTCGGTAAAAGACATGAAAAATTTCACATCGTGCGTAGCTGAATAAGCGAGGTAAGTCCTTTTTGGGGAGGGGGGAGGAAGGTCCCCATGTGAATTTTTCTTCTTGCAAACAATAAAATTTTTTTTTTTTTGTATTATAGAGACACGTTTGGTGATTTTCTCAATGAATCGTTTGAGGGAAAAAAGAAAAAAAAGTCTGCCAGAAAACATTATCAGGGATTTTCTTGGAGAAAAGAAGGAGTGAAATGATGGAAAGAAAAAGACAACAACAGCAACAACAGCAAAAATTTGCCTGAATTTAAATTGCAGGTTTTTACAATTACAATACATACATATATATACCGATAACGTCGCGACAATGATTAGTTAAAAATACAAAAAATGATTTTACGTCCCCGTCTGTAATTATAATAATGATAACGACGATGATAATGATGATAATAATAATAATCCGTTGTTATTATTATTATTATTATTATTTGTAATTAAAATAATATATATAGACTTTTAATTCCACCGAGAAAAAACAGAAAAAAAACTCTTTTAAAACAATTGTAAAATTTTTTTAAGTTGGTATTTTTTTTTTAGTTATTATTATTATTATTATTATTATTATTATTATTATTATTAGTGAGTTTCCTTAAAGTTATTATCGTTCAAAAATTTTTTTCTTTTTCTTTTATTGTTTTTGTTTTAAAATGTAATTCGTGCAAATTATCATCATCATCATCATCATCACTATCATGATAGGAGCCGCCACCGTCGCCGCAACAGCCGGAAACAACCAACCGTCGCAGCCATCGTCGTCATTAATCAATTGTAATATTATTTTATTATTATTATTATTATTATTATTATTATTTGTAATTTTTGCGGACAATCTAATAACCGTGTACCTTACATATATAAGTGCAGTAGATAAGAGTAGATGTATAAGAAGAAATTCACAATTTATTCAAGTAGTAAGAAAAACTAAAAAGAAATAGATTAATTACAAAAAAAACGAAAACGGAAACGGAAATGAAAATGAAAATGTTTAATAATCATATCGGTCGTCTAAAAGGGAGAAAGAGAGAGAGAGACGAAGAAAAGAAAATGAGGGTGGGTGGAAAAGAGAGAAAGAAAAACCGCATCAAATTAGGCCTTCAAAAGTAATAATATTTTTTAAAATTATTATTATTATTATTATTATTATTATTATTATTATTAATATTGTTATTATTATTATTATTGTTATTGTAAATCGTTGTAAGAGTGGAAGGTGGGAGAAATGAAATTGATATATGACGTCATCTTTTCAAAATAAAAGCCGCGACCGCGACCACCGCCGCCATTTTGATTTTTTCGTTTCCGTTTCCGTTTCCGTTTTCTTTTCTGTCATTCATACCTGCACGACATCGATTTATAATTAATATTAATCAACACGAACGAGGTGAAGATGAGTAGAGGGGGAAGTTAATTGTTCGACGATTATTATCATTATTATCATTATTATTATCATTATTATTATTATTATTATTTAAAATCGATTTTTATTTAATTTAATTTAATTTAATTTTTTTAAAAATATTGTACGTATAGAGAATACGAATAAAAGTAATGAGAGAGGAAGAAAGCAAAACAAAAACAAAGCAGAAGAAAAACGCTAAAAAAAATGATGATGATGATGATGATGATGATAATGATAATGATAATAAAAAAAAAAGGGCAAAGAAATTTCTTTATGAGAAATTTCAGACACTGCCATTGCCATGTTAAATTAATAAAGACTGGTAGTTTCGATATAAAAAATAATTTTTGGTATTCTTCAATTGGACTTTTTTCTTTTTTTTTCTTTTTCTTTTTTCCTGTTTGTTTTTTTTTTTTTTTTTTATTATTATTTTGTTTTTTAATAATTTGTAAATTGTTTAATTTGAAAATAATAATAATAATAATAGTAATAATAATAATAATATTTTATAACGACAAATGATTTGTTTTATTTTTTAATTTTAATTTTTTTTTTTTTTTTTTTTTTTGTGGAAAAATGGATTTGTTGTTATAAGATTATGACAAGACTGTTTTTTTTTTTTTTTTTTTTTGATATGATTAATCAATCAATATTATGAAAAAAAAGAGAGAGAGAGAGAAAATTATTTTATATATGGAGATATAAATGATAATAATGATAAAAAAAAAAAAAAAAGGACGACGAGGATGACACGAAACGAAGGATAAGGTTATCGCATTTGTTTTCGGTTTTTAATTTAAAATTTTTTTTTTCGGGGAGGGGGGATTTTATACCCGGAGGGAGGGAGGGAGGTGGGAGGGGGACGTCATGTAAATTTAAATGAAAATTGTATATTTTTAATTGCTCAAAAGTCAATAAGAAAAAAAAAAGAAAAAAAACTTCTGTAAAGAGTAACAGAGTTGTTGTTTTTTTGTTTTATGGTCGGATTTATTGAAGAAGAAGGAATGGGTCGAAATTATTATTATTATTATTATCTATTATCATTATTATTTTAAATTTATAACAATGCGATTTACCTATTTAAAATGTGTTAGATAAAATAAAAAAAAAAAAAAAAACAAAAGTACATGACATATATAAAGAAAGAAAGGGTGTCATTTTTCTTTTTAATTTTTTTTTTCTCCCCCCAATTTTCCTTTACTTATTATTAATTATTATTATTATTATTATTATTATTACTACGGCACTAAATGTAGGTTTTTACGCCACTACTTATATATGAATTACATTGTACATTTAAAATACTATTATGTATGTTGTATAGTTTTTTGCAGTTGAAAACAAAAAAAAAAAAAAAAAAAATTGAATTATATTAATTTCGATATAAAAAATAAAAAAAAATTAATAAAAAAATAAAATAAAATAAATTCTTTTGTTTTATTCTTGTTGTTTTTTTTTTTATTTTCTTTTCTTTAATTTTTAATATCAAATCAATATTATTATTATTATGTCATCGAAGTTATACGTATTTTTTTAATAAATATTTTATGTCCGTATAGTTTTTGTCGGAGGGATTAATAAAAAGGGTAAAATATCAGTTTAGAAATTATTAAAAATGGTTACAGTTTGTTTAAATAAAAAAAAAGAAAAGCAATTAAATTAATGTCGAATCATTTTCATTTGGCCTGAGAAAAATTTATTTGAGCGCGTTCATGAATTATTAATAATGAGAAATACGTTAAAAATAATTTGCAAAATAGAGTTTGTGCGTTCGCGTTTTTTAAGTTGGCAAAACTGATTCAAGTATTGTTAAATGTTTGCTGGCATTTTTTATTTTTAAGTACGATTTCAGTATTTAGTTTTTTTTTTTTTTTTTTTTTCATTTAGCGTATAAAAAATGCTTATTTTACAGTAATATAGTGACATTATTTTTCTCGTTAGCTCAGTATTAATTATTTATTACAAATTAATTTAAAATCTTTAGGTAATAATGGATAAAAGAAAGTTATCGTAAGTATATATTTTACTTTATTATTGATTTTTTTTTTTTTTTTTCGGTATGACAAGATTCCATGGAAATTAGCCCAGGCTTTTGAAGTAGTAGTTATATTACGTGTACTTTTAGGTTTTTTTATTTATTTTTTACTTTAACTATTTCATGCCTAGGTTCATATTTTCAAACCTAATCCGAAATTTGAATCATCGTTTTTAGTCATAATTTTAGTTAGTATTTTATTCTTTATCAGCTATGAATAATCGTCATGCTAACTAATACCGTATTATATATGATTTAAAGATTACTATTTCTTTTCATTTATATTAATTTTAAAAAAAAGAAAATGTTTATTTTTAATTATTAAAATAACGAACAAATTAATACGACACGAAGCAAATTTTTTATTTCACTTTATATTATTATTCAATTAGTTAAGGTTAATTTTTTTTTTTTCAGTTAATTATTTATAAATATGACGAGAAAAAAATCGTGAAATTTTTTTTTTTTTTTTTTGCAGCTGCATTTTTATTAAACTTATCAATCCTAAATCAAATTTCTAAAAAAACTTTTCATTTTTTTTTTTTTTTTTTTTTTTACTTAAGTTAAAAATTAAACTGTGGATGATTAAATGAATTTATTAAACATAATCGAACGAGTAAAATTTGCAATAATAATAATAAATAAATTTAAATATTTATTTTTTTTAGTTAAAAATAATTCCTATTGTTGTCTTGTAGTTATTGTATTATTGTAAATAATTATTTTATTGTAGAACTTCCGGTGATACTCTTTACCAAATATTAAGTTTACCAAAAACGGCTGAAACCGAAGAAATTAAGAGGACTTATCGTAAACTCGCTCTTAAATACCATCCTGATAAAAATCCAAATAATCCAGAAGCTGCTGAAAAATTTAAAGAAATTAATCGAGCTCATTCAATATTAACTGATTTGACTAAAAGAAATATTTATGATAATTATGGGTCTCTCGGATTGTACATTGCAGAACAGTTTGGCGAAGAAAATGTTAATGCATACTTTTTGGTTTCCTCAGGATGGTGCAAAGTAAGTTAATGATAAATAAATATTTTCTATTTTTTTTTTATTTAATTGTAACCAAAGTCAAGTCGGCAAACAATTTTACTTGTTTACTTTTTTTTTTCTCTGATATCATTTGTATACACACATGTACAGTTCACAGTTAAAAATCATGGGTTTTACTAAAAGCTAATTTTAAAGGAAATAACAATAACAATTATTATTATCATTTTGACTTTTATCATTGACACAAATTAGTCTTATAATTTTATTTTTTATAATTATGTAATAATTAATTTTTAAATTATTTATCAACTAAAAAAAAAAATCTTATCCCAAGAGTCTGTTTGTGTGCGTTCGGTAATTAATTTTTTGTTTATAATTTTGTTAGTGAATAATATTCTTTTTATTTTTCCTTTCAGGCATTGATTTTATTTTGCGGAATTATCACTGGATGTTATTGTTGTTGCTGTTTGTGCTGCTGTTGTAATTTCTGCTGTGGAAAATGCAAACCTCGTCCACCTCAAGATTCAGGCGATTATCACACTTTACATGTAAGCTACAAACAAAATATTATTTTACTCACTATTTTTTTTAATGCTGAGGAGAGTTTTGCATAATCTAAAATTATAATAAATCCATATTTCATAACTCTTTTGAAAACTATTAAGTTTTATGAAAGGTATTTACAAATTATAGTTATGGTTTATGAAAAAGAAAAATGAATTTCTCCTCGGCATTATTATTTATGTTAAATTAATTATAGTTATTAGCATGCTAAATTATACAATTATTAATGTTTGTTATTATAAGTCAATGGTTGTCATCATCGAAACAAAAAATTTTTTTAAAATGTCGAAAAGGTTAGTAGATACATGTACTTTATTTATTAATTTTTTTATTTTTTCATGTTGTCTTCTAAAGGGGCAACACAACAAGTGCTTGTAAATTTTTATTTATTTTCAGCATGTATAATAAAAGATTCATATATGATTATCTCTCTATCTGTGAATTACTCATTTTCAAATTACTCAATTTCTCTACGCATTCGTTTTTATTTTTTAATCTTTTGATGATATCGATACATATACAAAAGTTTTTGTTTTTTTTTTTTTTTTTTTTTTTTTTCTTCTGAATTTTTGCTAAGGGTTACAGCATTTATTGGGATAAATCTATAAAAAACAAACTCACATATTATCGAGGCACCGTTTATTTTTTTTTTGGCATGTTACTAATTGCTTGTATATATATCGACAATAAAATTTCTTAAAGACGAAAACAAAATAATAATAATAATTTTAACTTATATTTTAAATTAAAAATTTTGGCAAAAGTTTTTCGGAAGTGGAGGGATAAAGTTAATGATAAGGGGAAGGTATTTACAATTTTTTTTTGCTGTTGCTGCTGCTGTTGTTGTTGTTGTGGTTGTTGAGGAATTTCATGACAGGAAAAAAAAAAAACAACAGGGTTAGCTGGAACTGCTGTAAGCCTAATAGTTAGTAGTTAATGACTAATATGAGAGAAAAGAAATCCATTTGACAATCCATTACTTTTAGTTATAATTTATGATAGCTTGCTATTGTGTAGTCACACAAAATAAATATATCTCCTTGTTAAAACAATTTTAATATTTATGTATTTATTTATTTATTTTAATTTTTTATTTTCTACCATTTTTTGTTTAGAAATCATATCAAATGATTACTATTTTACTTTACTTGTATAATTATTATTATTATTATTATTACTATTACTACCCTTTATTTATTTTTTTTTATTTATTTATATTTATTTTTATTTTTATTTTAAAGTTAATTAGAAAGTTTTTTTTTTTATTTTTTTTATTGATATTATAGAAAGAAGATCCCATCACGACTCAGCCTACGTCTGGAAAATCACCGCCAGGTACGCAAGAGGTCAGTAATACAATAATAAAAATAATAATAATAATAATTTAAAAAAAAAAAAAAGTTTTTTTATCATAACGAATATATATTTATTTTGTCGTCCTTTAGCAAATTATGTTTATTAGATGATGTGTTCGCAAATACACGCACACACACACACACACGCGATTGTTTAATATATTAAAAAATAGAAAATAAATAAATAATTAGGTGCTTACAACAAAAATAAAAAAAAATAATTAATGAAACAGGGATCATCCGGAATCATGGTGGAATATAAGGTTTATAAATGAATAATTGAATAATGGGTTGTTTTGATAGAAGAATTTGCACACTATACCCTCTCCCCTTCCCCTCCTCCCCTCCCCCCTCAAAAAAAATAAGAGTTTTAACGAGCACCAAGGTAAATAATAATAATGTAATTTAATTGCTTTGATATATCACGTACCTGTTTTGTATTCTTTAACGCTTAATTGCTTATATATTTATATATAGTATTGCGGGTGTTTGTGCTTTAGAAAGAAAGAAACGAAAAAAAAAAAATGCACATACTATAATTTATTATTATTATTATTATTATTATTATTATTAAAAGGTTTGTTTATTTCTCTCTCTCTCTCTCTCTCTCAAGGTGTATGGAACACGTGGTGGTAACAAGGACAACTTATTCGACTTTTTATTGTGTGATGTATGAAGTAAATGAATTCTCCGTGTATTCCAGAATAAATTCAAACGATCAAACAAATAATAATAATAATATTAATAATAATAATAATAATAATAATAATTTTTTTTTCGTTGACAAAAAAAAAACCAAAAATTAGAGAAAGCTTTTTGAAGGGATGATTATAATAATAATAATAATAGATATTGTCAAAAAAATTTTTTAATTATTCTAATATTTGGAAAATGGTTTTTCCGAAGTTTTCAAAAAAAAAAAAAAAACGCATTGTTATAAATAATTTTTTTTAAAAATGTAAATAAATAAATAAAAAGTTTAAGAAAGAAAGAAAAAAAAAAAAGAAAAAGAGGTAGGCCCCCCCCCCTCCGCATGGTTTTTTTTAAAATTTTCCCCCAAATGACAATTTGAATTTTCCACAAAATGTCCTCCGAATTTATTTTTTTATTTATTTAATTTTTTTGTCTCACGTTAATGTTTTAATTTTATTTTTAAGGATGATTTAGACCAGCCATTGGGCGAGTTCGAAGTTGGCGGAGGTAGCGGAGATGTTGGAAAAGAACCAGCTGTAATGGCACAACCTCAGCCATCGGGAACTTCGACAAATCCATTCGTTATGCCGGCACCGACTGCCAACGAAACGACGACGTTGAATTTTCAAGACACGACCACTTATACCCCAGGTACGGGTGAAGAAAAATAAAAAAAAACATGTTACGATTGCATGCATATCGATAAAACAAGACCCTGACTGAAGAAACAGCAATTAAGTTGAAATCCTGTAGTCCAAAACGACACTCACAAATACCCACACATACCTATTTTTTTTTCACTAATCCCTCCGAAGAGGGAATGTGGGGCTCGGTATGGAATGTAAAGGCCTAACCGGGGGACTCATACCCACTAAAACTCCTGAGCATGTCGCAATAGCGAGGCTTGTATGAAAAAAGGGCGGGATGTTCGGCAAGTCCCTTTCGGGAGTGTTTTCCGGTCCTTCGCACGGGGGGAAAGGGATGGAAAACTCGCGCGTTTTCTTAGTATGCGATCGGGCTGGGAATTTAGACTTACCGTCGTCACCTGTAAAGGGTAAAAGTTAAGTTAATTTGATCGCATACTCTCGAATGGTATAACGGGATCCTTGAGAAAAAGACAGACGAAGGATCGACCGAGGTCGTCCATCTTCCAAGAAATGTTAGAAAGAAGTAAACAAAAGGGTACTTACCGACGACGAATTCGCGTTCGCCACAGCAGTTCCGGGCCATCCGAAGAATCCTCGTCGTCGTCGTCTCCTCTTCGAATCTTCTTCTTTCGGGTTGTGGTTCTTTCGCGAGTGAGTCGGTTGCGAGAACGCAAGTTTCCAGACGAAACGGGGGTGCTACTCCCGGCCGCTATCCTTCCGCTTCGCGGTTTCGCTCGTTCGCTGATAGGAGACGGAAGACACACACCTGAAAATAGATTTAGATTTTATTAATCCCCTCCTCCAGCGATCCCAAACGTAGCACAGGTCTGCAAGCATACACTGGATCACAGGAGTCCACCGCGACTCCCGGCCGTGGAAGAACGCACGCCCAGCTGTCCCGAAGGGGACGGGGCGAATCTCCCTCCCGACGTAATCGAGAAAGAGACCCGGATCCCGACCCCTGCGCGCCCGCGGGGGGACGGTCGCGACCTCCCACATCGCTCCCGCCGCCTCCTCCGCAGACGAAGAGTTCCGACGGGCTCGCTACACTCGTCGGGGCTCCCCGCAGTCCGTCCGCAACACATACCGTACCTTAAGCCAACAGTTACTAGGCAATCGTAATTAGTTAAACTGATATTCCCGAAACGTCTTTCTTTTGTTTAAACGTGAAAATTTTTTTTTTCTTTTGCAGGATTGTCTCAACACGGTACTCCGGTACATTCAAACAAAAATCAATGGTAAAAGAAAAGGAAAAGTTAAAGCCACACAAACACACAGATACCCAGATACCCACACACTTACGCGTATATATATATATATATATATATGTATATGTATATATATATATATATATATATATGTTTTTTTTTTTTTTTTTTTTTTTAAATATCGATTTTATTTTGTCCAAAAAAAAAAAAAAAAAAAAATTTCTTTTATCGTTAGAAATAGATTCGAAATAGGATAATAAATAGGCAACCCAAAAATCTAAAAATGAAAGAAATGTTATGAAAAAGGAAAGAAAACAAAGGAAAACCTTTCGGGGGCAGCTTGGGGATCCGTCGAAACCGCGAAAGTTTTTTTTTTTTTTTTCTATATATACATACATACATACATATATATATAAATATATAATTAATTATTTATACATAAATGAAGATAATATTTTAAAAAAGTAACGGTTTTTTCATTTCAAGGTCATAATGAATCGTATTTGATCAAATCCCCCCCCAATTTTTTTTTTTTTTTTTTTTTAGTTTAGTTATGAAAATTGTAGTCGAATTGTGATTCGAAAATAAAATAATAATAATAATAATGAGAGAAAATAATAAAAATAATTTTGAATGTGTAATTTTGTCTGATAAATATTTGCAAAAAAAAAAATAATAATAATAATAATAATAATAGTTTAATTAAATTAAATTTTAAAAAAAAATTTAAAAAAAAAAATTTTTTATTTGTTTTAATGCATTCCTGATCATTATTATTATTACTATTATTATTATTATTATTGATAAAAATTTAAAAAAATGTTGTTGTTGTTGTTACTACTACTACTATTATTATTATTATTATTATTACTATTACTGTTATCATCATCATCATCATTTTTAGGTATCTATATATAATTGTATGCATGAGGACACGGTTTTGTGTTTTTTATTATCATTATCATTATTCCTGTTTTTTTTTTTTGGGGGGGGGGGGAGAATAGTTTAATTCACCGAAAGGAAATAAATAAGTTAATCAATAAAATTGTTAAAAAAGGTTATTAAATGAAAACGTTGATGATGGTGATTGTTATTTTAAAGCCCCTCTTCCCCCCCCCCCCGTTTTTAAATTTTAGAGTATTATTATTCTTATTTTTTTTTTTCCCGTTTGTGTTTGTCATCGCCGACAAAAACGCTTACCAATGATACATAAAATATTTATGTATATATATATATAACATGTATAAATAAATTAATAATAATAATAATAATAACAAGAGGTAGAGAAACAACCTGGAATGAATGTTTAAGTAAAACTTGTACAAGTATTTAGAAGCTTATCGGTTTCAAAAGTGTTAATGATAATAATAATAATAATAATGATGATGATGATGATGATGGTGGTGGTGAGAATGATGATGATGATGATGATGATGATGATGATGATAATGTTGGTTTAAAATAAAAAGAAAAAAATTAAAGGCTCTAAATTTATTTTTTACGTTTTTATTATTATTATTATTATTATTATTATTAATATTATTGATTAATTTATATTAATATTATTATTATCATTATTATTTATTTATTATTATTATTAAAATATATAAAAATAAGTTAAATGAATTTTTTTTTTTTTTTTGTTTTGTAGGGTGCCATTTAAATAAAAATAAAATAATTAAATTCTGGTCAGTTTTGTAAATAAAATTTTTTGTTAATTATTTAAAAAGAAGAAGAAATTTTTCATTGATTGTGATTGATTGTGATTGATTTATCGATTGATTAATTTAATGGTAAAAATTGAGTGAGGATTATTTATTTATTTTAATTTTTTTTTTTGAATGTGACATCACAAACACGATGAAAAAGAGAAAAAAAATTTTCGTACGTACCCTTCGATAAATCAACATGCGTACGCTTATTATTATTATTATTATTATTATCATTATTATTGATGATGATGATGATAATTATTATTATTATTACTATAAATAAATTAATTAATTTTTTTAAAATCGAATGTTCTATGGCGTTTTTATCGTCAAAAACAAACAAACAAAAAAATTTCTGTCTATAATTTTCCAGCGATTGTGTGTTTTTTTTTTTTTAATATATACATAACCTTAATTATTACTGCTATTATCATTATCATTATTATTATTATTATTATTATTACTGTTTTTTTTTAGAATAATTTTACGATGAAAAAAAAATAGTTTTGCTCCTTTACACTTTCCTCTCACTCGTTTTTTCTTAAATTTCATCGTCAAAATGTATTATTATCATTATTATTATTATTATTATTATTATTATTATTATTATTATTATCACCATAATCATCATCATCATCATCATCATTATTATTATTATCAATTAATTTATTTAATCGGGAAAATTTTTTTTTATATTTTTTTCTATTTTCGCTTCTTTTTTTTCGTTTTGTTTGTTTGTTTTTCGAATTAATAAAAGAAAAAATTTTTCGTCTTTGCGATGATGATGATAATGATAATTATTAAATACGATAATGATGATAATAATAATAATAATAATATTCGCTTAAAAAATATAAAAATTTTTTCGTTAATTTATGTAAAAATTAAAAAAAAAAAAAAAAAAAAAAAAAAACACGAAAAAATAAAAAAATAAAAAGAAATTTTATCGAATGGTTTTTTTTATTATTAATATTTTATTATTATTATTATTATTATCATTATTATTATTATCATTATTGTGTATTTATATAATCATGTATTTTAAAAAAAATTTTAAATGTTATAAATGATTAATAAAAATAATAATAAAAAAAAAAAAAAAGAAAAAAATGAATGAAAATCGTTTCGTTACCTTTTTTAAAACAAAAAACCTTAAATAAATTTATAATCGACAATTTCATTGTGAAAAATTATTACCTTTTCTCTCTCTCTCTCTCTCTCTTTCTTTTTCTCTTTCACTCTCTCTCTCTCTTTCAGTCATTCTCTTTCATTCTCTTTCAGTCATCCTCTTTTTTCTCTTTCTTTCTCTCCCTTTTTCATTCTTTCTCTTTCTTTCACTCTCTCTCTTTTTCTTTCTCTTTCATTCGTTCTCTTTCTCTCATTCTCTCTCTCTCTCTCTCTCTCTCTCTCTCTTTTAACGAATAACTTTGATTTTATTAAAGATTTAAAAATTTTATTATTATTATAATTACAAAAATGTTATAAAAATAAATTTTAATTATAATTAATAGAAAATTAATAATAATATTAATAAAAATAATAATGATAATGATAATAAATTAAATTCTTTTGTTGTTTTCGGTTTTTAATTTTATATAAAAAAAAAAAAAAAGAGAAAAAATTTTAATATGTTATCATGTATAAAAATTTTAATGAAATCTTTAATAAAAATATACGTAATGGTAAAGTATTATGATTATTATCGTAAAGAAAATGAATTTTCCAACCATTTTTTAATCCCCTTTTATTATTATTATTATTATTATTATCGTAAAATTTTTTTATATAGTAAACGACGTCGTTTATGCGGTTTTTTCAATGGATTTATTTTGTTATTTTTCCATCAATTTTTAATTGAATTTTCTTGTAAGTTTTTAAGTGGAAAATGGTTTTTCTTTCTCTCATAACATTAACGATCTCCTACCACCATCACCCCCCCCCACTGTTATTCGACATAAATAATAATAATAATAATGATAAAAAATCAAATATTGAAAAATAATTTAAAAAAAAAAAATTTTTTTACGTGGACACGAAATCCAGCCATTAAATTGATTAAGATCAACAACAAATCATGTCGACGTCGACGTCGACGACGACGACGACGACGACGACGATTTAAACAACCTTGCAAAACACCCTATAATTAAATTTAAAAAAAAAAAAAAACGAAAAAGGGAAAATGAATGAATGAATGAAGAATGAATGAATTACACTTGATACGTATTATTACCTTTTCAACCATCGGAATTCTTAATCGCAAATCATTTTTTTCCTGGAAAAATTTAAAAGTTTTCCGCGCACGTTCGTGCGTGTTGGTGATTTTATTTTTTTTTAATGACTTTTCGACATGGAAATTTAATAATTTTAAAATTAAAAAATTCGACGCAACAATATTAAAAAAATAATAAAATATCTATTTAATATTATAAAATAAAATTTTTACAGTATAACACACAAAAAATATATATAAATATAAACTTTATCTAAATACACTTATAACGTTTACGAAACAATTTTGCGAAGGGGGGAGGGGAAAGGAAGGGAAGGGATGGAGGGTATGTGCGTGCGACACAAATATTCGTTTTCTCGACGATAATACTACCAATCTATTATTATTATTATTATCATTACGAAAAAAGCATAGAGAGGATATTTTTTCGCTGGGGGGAAGGGAGGGGGGAGGGGTTCGATTAAACATCATTACAAAATTGTGCAAGTGGCAGATTTTACAACTACGGATTTATCTCCCTCATCATCATCATCATCATCATCATCCCCATCATCACTTTTTACCGATCGTGACGTCATTCTTCTACGAGTATTCAACAATCCGGATTTCGATTTATCGATCGATTCCAATGATAATTTTTCCATTTTTCCATTTTCCCGAGTGGATTCATTCGTCGTCGTCGTCGTCGATGAACGATCGACTTTTCTTTTCCAACAATTTAAAAAAAAATCATCATCATCATCATTATTTTTTTTCTTTTTATTATTATCTTTGGTAAAAAAATGTCTAACGATAAATTTACTCTCTAATTTTTGACTTAATTTTTCCGATTCCATTTTTTTTTTCTTTTTTTTCTTTTTTTTCCCATCAGTCGACGTGTTGTTCTCACCCCCACCACCACCACCACCATGAAAATTATGCAAATCCGTGTCTAAAAATGACGAGAGTTGCTTTTGTACTCTATGAACTACTATTCGATAGGCTCCTATGATGTGACTCCTTGACCCTTGACAATTTTGTCCTTCCAATAGTTGACTAGTTATACCCAAATCGTGCAATCTGTCAATGTCGCAAAGTTATATACTTTCTCTATAAATTCTACTCCTGCGATTATTATCATTATCATTATCATTACCTTTCCCGAGCGGTTTGTTCTATCGATGAGTATTGTTCGTTGGTTTCGTTCGAAATATTATTAACGCTTTTCCTGAGGGTCGGTGCCAAATAGTAACCGTTATTCGAATCAATCGGTGATGGTAGTACGATACCTTTTAACCAATCGGATGAAAGAATCGAAGACATTGTCAGTCTATCTAATGGATTTTGTTGTATTATTCCCTCTGGAAAAAAAAAATAAAAAAAATTTTCAAATATTCTTTTCTCCTCCTCCCCTTCCTCCTTCTTCTTCTCTACCTATTAAATCCGCACATTCTCTTGACACGTTGCTGGGTATGTGATAAGCACCCGCAATTATGTTCGTTTTCAATGTCGGAACGTTTTGTCCCTTGAACGGCATTCTACCCACGACCATGAAATACAAAAGTACACCA